TAACGAAATCCATAATTCGCCTTATCCATAATATCTTTATTTTCTAAATAAGTCTCACGGACATATACTAAATCCCTTTCCTTCTCGCGACCCGCTGGCGAAAGCGACTCCAAATACTTCTCGAATTGATCGGCATACCTGTAACCAATTTCCTTCAATAATTTGGCTTCGTCAGCATCGAACTGATCTATACCATATGCCTTTAAAGCATTGAACCAAATATCATCTACATTCGTAAGATTTTTTTTGTTAAAAAAGTGTTCGTTGGTAAACGTGTAAAAGTCTTTAAGCACACCCTTAATGCATTTTTTATCAGTACTGTTAAGGATATCATCCGAATCCTTCACAAATTGTTCGAGTACAGCCCTTTTCTTCTTAACATCTTCACTGTCTAAACTATTGATTGCAGGATCGGCAAGTACGTCTTTGATTATTTTATTGCTACCTTCCAATAGAAATTGCTGATGTCTCTTGTCGCCTTCAGCTATCATAGTCGAGAGTCCTTTGCGTTCGCGCGTTATAACGTTTTGCTCTTCTAATGTCAAAGCCGTGAATTTATTAGTACCTTTCGGCTGTGTCAGAGCATTCTGCTCCGTGCTGCTGCTGTCCTTGAGGTCACTTTGAGTTTGCGTAGTTGGCAAACAAAATGCGAACTATGGGTGAAATAAAAGTTTTGTAAATGAATTACAAAATGAAAATTGTGCAAATTTATTTCCTACAAACCTGCAAATAGGCTGCGAAGACAAAAATTCGGATTATATTTGTCATTTTATTTGTCACTGACTTTCTACCGTTTAGTAAATACTGCGCGCTGTTGTGGAATGCACTAGGCACCGTTATTGTAAATTTACAGGCATTTATACTAAGCACAGAAGCTCGATTTACATGTTTACTAAAAATATTCATAGCTTTTTTAATTTATTGCAATCGCTTTAATTGATAGCCTAATGAATGAACGCCGAAAAAAATACAAAACTGACGGGTAAAGGTTAAGGTCACTATGACGCGAATGCAGAGGGGCCAATAGGGGGTGTGGACCGCAAACAACTGTTAGGTTAATTGCTCGTTAGAGTACTCGTATGTATTAAATTTGTGTTATTCTATTACTAAATTGGTTGAAAGGTATTTTCGCTAATATTAACGGAGTTTTAATACATTTTCGATAGTATGACGCTTCAAGTCATTCAAAATTAGAGTTTGTTTCCAACTTCACCCCTAAGTTTAGTGAGTATTATTTTAACAACCCATTTTTTGAGTCTGGGAAGGAGAAAATAGTCACTAGGGGTCCTACCTGTCGAATTCATAGTTATGCCGTGGCACAAGATGAATGAGCGAGAGCTTTGTCTTGGTGAAAGAGCATGTCATGAAAGAGATAGTATACCAGTTGAAGCTACAACGCTAAGACAACTTTTTATTTGTTTCGCGATCTATCGATGATACCAAAGGCTTTTCTGCCCCCATAGAAATATTCTAATGTCATCAACTTTAATAAACTTATAATATTTTTAATTTTATTTTAATTTTTTATATGTTACAACAGCATTAAATCTGTCTATTAATATATCGGGATAAAACTTTGCATGAATTGTCCTTCTAAAGTGTGCCACCTTATGACTAAAAATTGTCCAAATCGAAGAGAACTGTGCAAGCAACTAGGTACCGAATATGTGGACCCCAGTGCCTATAGTTGACTTTTTACCGAAAATATTGGTCAATGTGTGAGATAAATAATTAAAATTCGGAGAAAATACTTTCCTGATGATAGTATGCTTGAGTGTCAAAAATGAGTTAAATCGTTTCAATATTTCCCTTAGCTCCCATATACCTAATATAAAGATTTTCGAACTTCCGGGTGACTTCATACCGCATACCTATATCAGCCAATAATATATGTGGGTTATCTCAATAAAAATGAGAGAGCGTTTTATGTAAAATCGGGGAGAAAACTTGCCGTAGCCCCCATATCATCCCGTTGATTTTGCTTCTTTTATTTATGTTGGTGATAATTTACGAGGTACCTTAATGAAACTCAGAGAGCATTTCATTGTGTTAATAGTTTGTTGTATTGCCACCATTAGATAAAATCGGGTCAATATCCCTATATATCATATACCTAATAAAAGAAACTTCCGGCTGACGTATGCGATACCGTATATATCAGTCAATATGTTAGATATCTTAGCAAAATTAATGATTAATTCCACGTATAATATTGGGTATATTATATACATTCGATTATCGATATTTTGTTATAATCGAACACATGTGTTTATCATGTGCTTGCATTTGTAGTAGTTTGTTTTTGACAACAGATCACGGTTTTGTGTGCTCTTCGGTACCGAAAAGCGCATTTCAGAATTGCTTCGAGGCTTGGAAGAAGCGTTAGCACAAGTGTATTATATCCGAGGGGATTAATTTGAAGGGGACAAAATAGATATTGATGAATGAATAAGAACTTTTCAAAAACATTCAAAATTCACCTTTTATTTTAAACACACCTCGTATATATATTTCTATTATGTATTCATTCAAAATAAAATTAAAGAAAGTTAAATCTAATTTTTACGGGATATCCAGGCTATTTTTATTCGTTACTTTATTTCACTCATTGGTTTGTTGTTCGTTGAAAAACTGTACGTAACGAAATGCATAATCCGCCTTATCGATAATATCTTTATTTTCCAAATAAGTTTCACGGGCATGTACTAAATCCTTTTCTTTCTCGCGACCAGCTGGCGAAAGCGAATCCAGATACTTCTCGAATTCATCGGCATACAAGTAACCGATTTCCTTCAATAGCTTGGTTTCGTCAGCGTCGAACTGATCCATACCATGTGCCTTTAAAGCATTGAACCAAATATCATCTACATTCGTAAGATTTTTTTTGTTAAAATAGTGTTCGTTGGCAAACGTGTAAAAGTCTTTAAGCACACGTATAACGCTTTTTTTATCAGTACCGTTAAGAATATCATCCGAATCCTTGACAAATTGCTCGAGTACTGCCTTTTTCTTCTTAACATCTTCACTGTCTAAACTATTGATTGCAGGATCGGCAAGTATGTCTTTGGTTATTTTATTGTTACCTTGCAATAGAAATTGTTGATGTTTCTTGTCGCCTTCAGTAATCATAGTTGAGAGTCGTTTGCGTTCGCGCGTTATAAAGTTTTGCTCTTCTAATGTCAAAGCCGTGGGTTTATTAGTACCTTTCGGCTGTGTCAGAGCATTCTGCTCCGTACTGCTGCTGTCCTTGAGGTCACTTTGAGTTTGCGTAGTTGGCAAACAAAATGCGAACTATGGGTGAAATAAAATTTTTGTAAATGAATTACAAAATGAAAATTGTACAAATTTATTTCCTACAAACCTGCAAATAGGCTGCGAAGACAAAAATTCGGATTATATTTGTCATTTTATTTGTCACTGACTTTCTACCGTTTAGTAAATACTGCGCGCTGTTGTGGAATGCACTAGACACCGTTATTGAAATTTTCCAGGCATTTATACTGAGCGCAGAAGCTCGATCTACATGTTTACTAAAAATATTCATAGCTTTTTTAATTTATTGCAATCGCTTTAATTGATAGCCTAATGAATGAACGCCGAAAAAAATACAAAACTGACGGGTAAAGGTTAAGGTCACTATGACGCGAATGCAGAGGGGCCAATAGGGGGTGTGGACCCCAAACAATTGTTAGGATCAAGAATGTAATAGTACTCGTATCTATTAAATTTGTGTTATTCTATTAATAAATTGGTGAAAGGTATTTTCGCTAATAATAACGGAGTTTTGATACATTTTCGATAGTATAACGCTTCAAGTCATTCAAAATTAGAGTTTGTTTCCAACTTCACCCCTAAGTTTAGTGAGTATTTTTTAAACAACCCATTTTTTTAGTCTGGGAAGGAGGAAATAGTCACTAGGGGTCCTACCTGTCGAAATCATAATTATGCCGTGGCACAAGATGAATGAGCCAGAGTTTTGTCTTGGTGAAAAAGCATGTCATGAAAGAGATGGTATACCAGTTGAGGCTACAACGCTAAGAGAACTTTTTATTTGTTTCGCGATCTATCGATGATACCAAAGACTTTTCAGACCCGATAAAAAAGGAATATTCAAATGTCATCAACTTTAAGAAACTTATAATTTGTTTAATTTTATTTTTAATTTTTGCAACAGAGTTCCCTTGTATAAAACGTTTGGAGACGACACTGGGCAAAGTCAGCAAAGGCAGATACTACAGTTTATGTTGTGCAAATTCAGCTAATCTACAATAATTAAATTATATGTAATGACAATAATTTAACTATTACATCGTAATACTATTCGCAAGATGCGGATTTTTTGTTTTGTAAAAGCAGTGTTATCATTTAATTAATATTTCGCATATACATTTAAATGAAAGTAAAACTTTCTACAATTCAAGCAGACTTCGGTTTGAAATTTTACAGCCCGCAGCAACTAAACGGCAACGTTTTACCATATAAATACTATTTTGTTTCTATTCAACTCCTTTCTAGAACAATTCCAGTTTTCAAAAACAATGTTTGTTCGCTCTCTTAATAATTTTATCAACCTTTACTATAACTTCCAAATTATTTAAAACAATCTGTGACCGAAAGAAGTTTTATCGCTTCGACGCTCATTCTTTATCTTCTTTTCTTCTTCAATTCTTATCTTCTTCGGCGGCTGAGAGTGCTTTTACATAAAATTCGAATTCATCCACCAGATAGTGTAAGTATTCTTTGTAACGTTTATTCCAATACAACACGGCTCTTAAGAGCATCCCATATTACCTGCTGTTGCTGTGTTAGTGGTTCGGCCTTTTAAGTATATAACCGATTAAATCTGTAGAATCGCTGAATCACAGCATCTTTATCGCCAGCAAAGAACAAGCAATTTGCCAATTTGGTCGGCAGTCAGAACCTTATTTAAGCTTCTTTACAGTTCTTCCCATATATTTTAAGTATACTTTTTTCTTGCTCCATAGATTCACTATCTACACTATTCATATTAGATCCAGCAAGCACATCTGTGACTACTTGATTGGTTCGTTGCCGACGAAAGTTTTGAAAATTTATCGAGCTGTTATTGAACGCCTCCTCAAAGCTGTTGTGACCGTTTGGCAAAGCATTTTCAGCTACTGAGTTATCATTGTTGTTCTGGTTGACATAGTATTATCATCCACTTATTCCGAAGATAAACTCATTAAGCATGAAGCAAGCGGAGACAAAGAGAAGAATATTTAATTTAATAAATAACTATAACATTTTTTGTTTATTTTGCAAACCTGTATTAGTAACAGCAACACTTTGCATTCAAAGTACGAAGTGCGCCTAAACATTTTCACTTTTTGAGCTGTACAGAAAGCGATCTTTCAAGTTCCGATGCACACTAAATGCGTAACAAGCTTACTAAAGGTATTTACTTTCGTAATTGAGACACGACTTGTAAGTCTTTGAACAACAAACAAAAGTAATTATTTTTTCACACAGTTCGACAAGAAATAAGAGGAGTTCAAGTTTATAACGGTACATGATAAGTAAGTTACATATGTAAGTGTATTCCCATATACTGGCATATAAGTATGAGCAATTTGCTTATAATCTTATCTATTACTTTTACAGAGGACGACTCAGAAGAAAAACAACAATTAAGTGTCTATATACGAACATTAGGGTGTTCGTTATTTACAAAGTGGGTTTGTTTTCTGCAAACACCTCTTAAGTTTCAGTTTTTGCTCTAAAAAAAGGATCCAACATAAATAAGCTGTGCAACTTTGTTTGCAAAAAAAACAAAAAAAAAATTTGAAATTAAGCGAATAAACCCAATTATCAAAGTAATTAAAACAAAAGGTAAATATAAAAATAAAGTTCAATGAAGTACTATCATGTTTAAAAATCATTGAACCTCTTTTATTAGAACAGCAATAACAGTCATAAAAATCTAAAATAGTCTACTTATTAAATTGTTTTAAAACCCACTAAATTGTTGTTTCTTTTCGAATCTATTGTATATGAATAGTTGTTCAGAAGCCTTATCAAAAATTTTCGTAAACAACTGCACATACTCACAAGTGTATATATTACCACATAAGAAACAAAAATATGTACTATTAAATTTCAGTAAATTTTGCTTGGAATTTTTTTTAACGCTAAGTATGTATATTTTTAACAACACATCCTTAGTGAAGGTTCAGTGTGATCTAAATTATGAAGAAGATACTGACTTTTCTCCTTCAATAATGAGAGTTGGTTTAATGGCTAATTGGCAAAGGTCTATGAACTTATATTGAGAGACCGCCGATTTAAGATGTGCGGAATAGCTTAGCACCCGAGGGTTATATTTACATAAAATATTGGGTATGAGAAAGCTGTCGACGCGATGGGTGCCGCGTTTTCTCACTACGGACAACCTGAGAAAATATATGACTACTTCATAGCAGTATTTGATGCTGGTTTCGAAACAGTCGATGAAACAGCGATCCATTAGCACACATCAAAGGCCAAGGTGCAGTCGAAATAGTAGACTTCACCCAGTAAATCTGCTTTAAAGATGGCGAAAACTTTTCTATCAGCCTGAAAGGTAAAGGCCACCGTCTTTTGAGAATCACAAGATGTGATATACATCACCCACCTGGAGAACAGTGCCCTACTTAGCCTCATATACTAGATATAATTTACAAAAAATTAAAATAACTTACAAATTCTAATCCGCATTCGAAAGGCTAATGGATTACATGAGAAGCTTTTGTATGGCAGATTAGAAGTCGATTGGAAACTATTTTCTCAGCAGTACTCGTGGGCTCCATTAATTACTATGTCATGCCGACTAAAATAAAGATTAATAAAAAGATTTTCTTCCATAAAGGAGAAAGTGCAAGCCAGGCGGTTTAAATGCGAGCTTGGAAGGCCAATTGTGAAAAATAACGATAAAGTATAGAACATCGTCGAGTCTGACGACGTATCTATTCCTTATGAGTTATATATTGAACATATAACCGTTTCGGACAACTTAAATATTGCTGGATACAGAAACATTGTCAATGTATTGGCGCCACACGAGTTAACGTAAAAAAAAATTTATGAACCAAATTTGCATCTGAATCGATCAAAATCGATCCATTTCAGAAACGGACGGACCAGTAGTGATGAAAAATGCGTCACTTGTGACAGCGTCAAGTAAAAATTAACGTTATTGAATCAGAAAACTTAGAAGAAGAATAAGAAGAAGATCATCTAAGTTCTCTGATTGAATCACGGTGAGCCGGCGCAAACGGTGGCCAAGTCGGAGTCGGAGTGGACCTTTCAGGGGAGTTTTGCTATGTGTGTTGGCAAGGAGGATGAGCTACGCCCAGAGAAGGCGAGCTTTGAGCAATAAGAGAGGAATAGTGTTCCATTAGGGCAACGTCAGGTCACTCACATCGATAGAGACTCGCCAGAATATCAGTTGGAAGATTCTTATGTACCCATCTTATAGTGATTACCACCTGTTTCCGTTTAAGGCGATTGATTTTGCTGGATGCAAACCTTCGAAAAATTTTACAAGATAGGACTAAGCGACCACTGAGCAAAAACATCTTATCTATTTATAAAGAGAATTAAAAGCAATACGAAGTATTTCAATAAGTAGATCCTCTGTCACTTAAAGTAAACTAATTTGTGGTAATTGGCACTTGCACAATTGCTATATTCCTAGCTCTGCCTCCGTTTACGTTGTGCGACTTAATATTAAAAAATTAAAAATCCTACCAGTTAATTGGTAACTTCCGTGACCTCATTTACCTTCTACTAACGGATAGTGGGTATTAATCTGATTAAAACACAGCTAAGTAAAAATATAAGCCTGCTCCATAAAAAATATATAGAAAAGAATTTAAATATGTATAAATAAATGCATGTATATGTGTATAATATATTTATATTCACAATTACTTTTCAGATTCGTGCAGAAATAACTGTGCACTGAAATGGAGTGCGAAGTCTTTCGGACGTTTCTCCATTTCCTCGATGTACATTAATGCTCCATATTTCTTTAAAGTTTTCCATGATACCTTTTCTTCTGGTGTGCGCTCTTTTGTCGTTGAGGCTTCTCTTCGGTCGAAGCCATTAAAATGTTCTAGCACAAAATCCTTACTCGTTGCGAAGATCATTTTTATCGGCAGGCAAAATATTGAGAATCTTTGAATATAAAACATAAATTAATATTGTTTTACACACTTGTATGTAGAATAAGTGTTCAAGACCTATAATGGTGCAATGTATTTGGGTCAGACATACCTTAATAAGAATATTCTTATATACATACTTGATTACTCACAATGAGCCCTGCTTATATTTTAATCAATCATTTCAATAACGTACATTTCAAATTTAAATATATTATACTCGTACAAAATATTTATTTTTTTGAACTGCATAAAAAATTTATTAGCATTACGAATTCGACCTGCTCTTTGTCCAAAACTTTGCCTTCGTAAAGACATGTTCTCCCTATATTGGCTCTCGTACAGATTTATCAGATACATACCTTTGGCTTTTACCAAATATTTCGGTAAATTTCTTTTGGAAATGCAAAAGCGGTGATTTGAGCAACGTTTGTAAAGCCTTAAATAGTTCGTATTAATTAACGATCATTTAAAAGTGAAACCGTTTGTTCAGAAATTATTCTATTTTTATTTTATTCAGTAATGTACAATAATTTCTATGCCATGCCCATATTCGATACATATTTTTATTATTATTTACTTTTTCGTAAATTTTAATTATATTACATAAATTCTATCTGGTTATACTTTGGAGTCATATCGGAATAGTTCACCGAACAATCGTTCGCCAAATTCGGCCTTATCCAATCCGAGCTCATTCTTTTTATACAAATTCCAAACTTCCACCATTTCTTTTTTCTTCTCTTTTTCGGCCGATGGGAGAGCTTTCATATAATAATCGAATTCATCTACTATTTGGCAGGCAAATTCTTTCGCACGTTTCTCCATTTCTTCGTTGTATTCTAATACTCCATGTTTCTTTAAAGCATTCCATGAGACCCGTTGTTCTGGTGACAGATCTTCTGTTTTCGATGCACGTCTTCGATTAAAGCTGTTGAAAATTTCCAGCACAAAATCTTTACCGATTGCAAAGAAAAACCGATTGTGAAAATCATTTTTATCGGCAGGCAAAACCGCAATTAATGCCTCCTTAGAGTCCTTCACATATTTCCTAAGTACACTTTTCTCCTCCTCCATAGCTTTACTGTTGATGCTATTCATCAAAGGATCGGCAAGCACATCTTGGGCTATTTTATTGGTTCGTTCCAAACGGAAATCTAAAAAGTTTTCAAAGCTTTTGTAAATATTCGCTTCGAATTGCTTGCGACCACTTGGCGTAGCACTTTCAAGTGTTGATGGCGTTGTGGTTGATGTACCATGTGGTATGATATTATCTTCCTCCGATTCCGAAGTAGATGGTCTCGGTAAGCCCGCGTTAAACTAAAACAAAACGTATAATAATATTTAATTGAATAGAAATATATTTTTTTTATTTAGTTTTCAAACCTGTATTAGTAAAAGCAGGGCCAACGTCAGCAATGCAAATTTTTTAAACATCTTTATTCTGTCTCAAAAACACTCTTTCAAATCTCGATGCAGACTAAAGTCGTTGCAATCTCATGTAAGGTATTTATAAGCGGAACTGTGAGAGGACATATAACTCTGAAAGTAAAAGGGAATGTGCGAAAACATATTTTTTGCAAATGTTTAAATCAAAAGTGAGTTCAAGATCTGCGAGGAATATATGGTAGTATTTGATGCATATCTTTATATACTCGTCTTTATAAGAGCATTTACATATAATTATGAGAGCCTTGCTCATTTTCTTATCAATATGCCTATAGAGTAAATTAACACAAAATTAAATATAATATAAAATTTTTGTTAAGCCTATACATATGTATATTAGGTATATGATCAAATAAAATGAGATATTGAAAAGTGAATGAAATTACTTCAGAAAAAAAATTCTAAAGCAACAAAGTGTAAAAATTAAATTTAAACTTATCTCCTACCTTAGTATAGCAATAACAGTAAAAACACTAAGTGACGTCAACTTCGGCTGCACCGAAGCTATAATACCCTTCACAGGTATTCTACATTTCTTATAGCAAAGGGGTATAAAAAAAAAGTTATTTTGATTTCGATCGGCCCGTTTGTGCGGCAACTACATGATGTAGCATTCCGATCTGAACAGTGGGTTTGGAGATTGCAGCGTTGCCTTGGTCTGTAATTCATACCAAATTTTGTGAAGATATCTCGTCAAATGAATAAGTTTCCATACAGATGGCAGCTACAAGTATATGCTATAGTGGTCCGATATCGGCGATTCCAATAAATGAACAGCTTCCTGCGGAGAAAAGCAGATGTTGAAAATTTCAGATCGACTTGTACACATTAATACAGACAGACAGACGGACAGACGAGACGGACATGGCTAAATCGACTCAGCTCGTCACGCTCTTCGGATATTACAGTACGAGTATTCTTACCGTGGATTTTTAAAACTTTATATCGGCTTATTTTTCAGAAGACAAATTATTGATCCAAAAATCAATTGATCTCACTTGGATAGATATTCGTCCTTTGTGTTATTCATAAACTCCAAAAGGTGGATCATGCAAAGGGTGCCCTCCTTAGCAAGCTCGTCGGCTTTGCTGAAGCTAAAGCTTGAAGCTATTGCTAATGAGGTCATGCACTCCTTGACTACTTTTGGGCGCACAGTCAGCGAGCTTAAATTCAGTATAGCCCCTCGGGTATTGGCGTGAAAGCTGCACTTCGGAGCAGTATATCTACTGCGATCTACATGGCAGCGACCTCAAAAATCTTCAAAACAAAAATTGAGAGCAGCTTGAGGGAAAGTCCGAAGTTATTTGAAGCACTTCTGTACACTTATGTTTTATTTATTTAGTTAAAAGTTAAACAATATATGCTTGATATTACCTAAATATATGAACATACAAGTATAATCAGCATTTTCATGGATTGAAAGTGTCAAAAAATTTTGAGTAAAATTCTGCTTTCTTCTCATCGTCCTTCTCATTTGTAAATCTAGTATACCAGTCAATCAATTTGGTCTCATCCTTCTTTTGCTCCTCCGTCAAGACGGATAAGTAATGTTCGATTGCTTTTTCAAATTTCCCCGAAACCACTTTTAACTCAGCCATCAAATCGTCTTCGAACTTATCTGAGCCATTATCGATAAAAGCTTTTTGAACTGTCTTCGTTTGCTCCAATTCTGGGGGCATTTCGTTAGCATCTTGCAATATGCTCGTTAGCGTAATCATCGACTCGAAAAGCGCCAACATGTCTTCGGCCGCATCCGATTGCCCACCAGCTTTGTTAATTTTAAGGTATTCGGAAATACGTGTAATATTCGCTTTAAGGCCATCACACTTATCTGGAACTGCCTCCAATTGTGTCAGTGTTTTGTTGAAGAGTGGACGTCCATGTTCGGTAACATATTTTGCCAAGCCCACTAAATCTGCCAGAGTTGTGGTCATCAGCAACTGGCGAGGTCTAAATTTCAACTTCTCGGAAGAGTGGGCGGTATGTGTGCTCGAAGGCTTCTGCTCGACTGCAACTTCATCAGCATCGCGGCGCATGCGTGGAACTGCTTGCACCTGTAAGGTGGAATTTGGCGGTTGTATGTCATATATATATAATTGTTGTTGTCACTAAACTTACCTGCAGTAGCAACAAAGCGCTGACTATAAAGATAATGAAAGCTTTTGTCATTGTGAAACTTAACTGATTATTACTGAGTCTCAAAATGTACTGCGAGTCGCTGTTGCATTTCTCAGTTTATATTTGCTTTGGAAAATTTGAAAAATCTTTGAATTGAAAATATTATGCATTTGAAAACATATCTGTTTGCTGTATTTTACTTATAAAAATATTATTCTAATTAAATACTTTGCGATAATAGTGACCCGGTCTTCATTCACTGGCCTATCTATGAATTCTTATCTTCTCTTAACGTACATACATACATACATATTATATAGACATATCGCTCATACTTATTTAATTATTTATTTTTTACACATTTTCCTAAGAAATAAAAGCAAAAATTAGTGTTCAATAAGAAAGCTATAAACAAAAGCAACAGCTGCAGTGCCCGGTAAAGAAAGCTTACACTATACTTCAAAATTAATTATATGTCAATCAAATTTAACTAATTAAATACTCGAGTACCTACAGGCAATATGAGGCTAAAGCGGAGCTGTGGGGAAAGAGAAATAGTGGGTGTTTTAACGAATGATTGGTTGATATGGAAATCGATAGCTAAACTTGTTTGGTAAAAAAAAGACTAAATGGGTGATCCATCTGCCCAAGTTGTCTGGAAGATAATAAGATATGGCACAACTCAAAACTTACTTTATTGTTTCTCCATTTCATTGAGACTAATCAGCATATTTCACGATTATATTGTGGTCTCATTCATTTAAAGTATTATTGCAACACTGGGAACATACAATAACTGTGTAGTATAAACTTAAGAATACTATAAAATTATTTTAATCAGTAGCGCCATCATAAATTTATTATGTTCAACACATGTATATATTCATACATATATATAATATATACCTATATAATCAAATTTCAAATCGAAACTAATAAAGGAAGTGAGAGATAACCACTTGTTTGATAATCAAGAACCAACGAAATATTTCATTTTTGCCGTTGTACAGTGTTAATCGTACATGATTACAACAGACAGATTACAGACTTAAAGCAAAATCACATACTGACCCTTTTAAGATTTAACTATAAAATCCCACAGATAAAAACTTTGTAATTCCACATAAATTTGTTGCAGTTTTCCGAAAACTATTAGTTACAATATGACTTCCTGGTTCAATATATAACAGTAACTATGTATACAGTTTTCTGCCTCGTAGTGTCCTTTAAAAAATTACGATCCTACAGGTCTCAAGAGATCCTGAACTACAAATCGATAGAAATCTTAATCCAATATTAACTACAGTTTCGCGTATTGACCTTGTTGATCTTGGAAGCATTAAACTCGTCAAATCTTCAGTAACAGTAAGATATTGGTGTCACGTTAATGATGAATATATCCTTGAGAGTAGCACACCAGCAATTGAAGTCTTTCAAATGAAATGCTTTATATACCTATCATCCATCTTATGGAATTTTGACCCGCTAGAATACATACTATTCTACTAATAAAGAAACCATGAACTCTTCGACAGTAAAGTCGTTTTCTAAAAAGTGTTAGTCCAATTTAAAGCGTAATAGAAGTTCTTACAATTTTTTATCTATAGACTCCTGTACCATACACACTAAAATATTTGGATTCGCAGCATTTTTGAAGGTATTGTACAACTGCTGTTCAATTTTTTTACTTGATTCCTCACACCAAAATATTTTATTTTTATGAAATAATCAGATATTTGCTATTTCAGTACATACTTCAATTGTTTTAATATTTATTTCTAAATTCATCACATACCATACATATGTACATATATTTTACAAATTTGTTTAGTTGATAGAAAAAAATTCGGAGAGTTTAATAACTTCATCGCTGAAACCATCGGTTGACTTGAATTCATCATACCATTTTACAATTTTAGTCTCCTGAGTTTTCTCCGTTTTCGTTAAATGTTTCACATAATCGCGTACCTTTTCGCCGAATGATTTAGAGAAATCTTCGAAACTTTTCTGTACTTTTTCGAGCAATTCATAAGCATCGCACTGCTCGAGCGCTTCCTGTATTAGTATTTCTTCAGCACTCGGTTTTTTCAAATTATCGGTATAATATTTCAATATCAAGTCGCTTAATTCGGTTATCGCCACGATGCTGTTTTTGAAGTAACGCGATATCAAAGCTGCGTCCTCTGAGTTCTCGATATTCTTGAATACGTCGTCAGCGCCAATCTTTGTTGAAAGTTTCATTTTAAGTTCTTCCACAGCTACAATTTCAAGTTTCGAAACTAATCTGTTTTCATTAAATCTTTTGGCTACAGATTTTCGTTTATCGTTTACAGATTTCACAAAATCGTAGTATTTGTCTGCAAAATCGTTGAACAATTTTTCAAATTTCGCCTTGTGATCTTCAACAGAGTCACTGGAACTAGAGCTACTGTCACTGCTGCCATCGTCAGACGAACGCTTGTTTCTTCCCTTCTGTGACTCTTCAGAAGATTCTGATGATGATGAGGATGATGACGAACGTGAGCTTTCGTCGCTATGTCGCGCGGCTCTGGGCGACGCTGACACTTGCTGTTAATTTTTGAGAATATTTAGTAAAAGTTAGAATAGTTCATTTTATTTTTAAATTTAATAACAACACATGTTTGGTACCTGCAACAAAACGCACGCAATTAACAACACTACCGTAGCCTTCTTCCACATCATTTACTTTAAAACTTGTACAATTCGAATAAGCTTCAGTTGCTGAAATGAATCTAAACGGAACTGAAATTGTGCATTTGATTTATATAGAAATTTTAAAAAGGTACCAGCAGCCAAATATTAATGGACTGCTGATTAATATTTGATAACCTAACGCTAGGTATTTAAAGCTTAGCTCATTTTGTTTTGATGCAAGCACTTATCAGACAGTATTTACTAGCTCAAACTAGTATGATATCACTAAGCATTAGAAATTGGAAGATAGTGACTATTAGGTTTATGCTTGAAGAAAAATAATTTTAAAAATTCGTTTATTCACATTTAGTAAATATGTATGCATGTAAACGAAAAATATTTATATGATTATTTTCAGTTAATTTAGGCAAGTCAAATATCCTTAATGCTTTAAATGCCTTTTTACAAACTTGTAGACTTTTCACCTTGAAGATTTTTTACTGCTCCCAACCGTAGCCAAAACTAATATGAAAGGTATTGTTCTAATGGCAGTGATCAAAGCTATGTGCCAATTTTCTTATCGGTATTATCGAAGTGTTCTTGAAAGATAAAGAAAGGCACCTGATCTTTTCAACAATTCATCCTTAACGACAACGCTATATACGGGAAACTATAACTTCAATGCGACAAAAAATCGACATGCTACTACTACAGGCTGCTATTTTATGTTTGTGCTTGCCGTTTGTAAGCTCTGAGAGGATTCCGCAGTGTGCCAAAAATAGCAACGAATCTCTCTGCGCAGAGTAATTGAGTAAGAGCGATATGCACGCCCTCTATTTGCCCATTAAATACCGCAATAAAACGCGATCTCCCAGCCAAGCCTTGATTTATTGCTCCGAGGCACTAGTTGTTGCATTTTTCTCACATTTTTTATTTTCTGGAGATATTGGCACTTCGGTGATCGCAAAAAATGCACTGCGAGATATTTCGATTGTTTCTAGAGTAAGCGATGCGTTTGCTTACTGTATACGCTGCAATTATGCATCTTCGAAGTGAAAACAAATCATTTAAAAATAGTGGTGTTTTATTAGGCACATTTGCACTGAACATATGAATTTCGTTAAGCATATACTTGTATGTATGTATGTTTGTATAATTTACGCACTACTCATCTAATGATTACTATAATTTAAACAAAACAAAAAAAAAACGTTTCCAATATGAATTAGTTTTTGGCAGCTGCTTAAGATTAGGGAAAAAAAAAAACAAAAAAAATTTTGAAAGAGTATTAAATGCAATGATTTTATGGCACTTACGACTAATTAATTAATAATACTTTATTTACATAGGTAAAACTTACGACACAATGCTTACATGTAAACATATATGATATACTAACTTACTTAGCGGCATAAGACATTAGTATTAGTAATAAAATTAAAATTTTTATCTTCCTTAACACTAACTTTATATTACTTTGCGCCTTCAGCTCTTTGCTCTGAACACTACTCAATCTGCATCCATTTTCATTTGGTGAAAAAAATCTTTGTATAGCGGCAGAAATTTGGACAAGACAATCACTTGACTGCTCACATTCGTCGCTGCACCGTATTTTCGATACCAATCCACCAGCGATTCATCGAAAACGCTACGCTGCTGCTGCTCATTCGCCTGCAGTTTGTCGACATATTCACCCACTGTGCTGTTGAAAAATTTAGTAAACTCCACAAATCGCTTTTCCAACTCCACTTCGATCTGCAGCACACCCGCTTTTCGGAACGCATTATCAATAATCACATTTTCCGCTGTCGGCTGCTTTATGCGTGTCGTATTATGTAGCTGCACAAACATTTCGAAATCTCTAGCCATCAATGTTTTCACACCGAATTGTGCCAGTTGTGTTGGAAAATCATTTCCTTTGTTCAGCTGGAGTGCCTCTCGCACATCCGCTATGAATGCGGCGCAGCTATTTTTCACCGCCTCCATTGTCGCACACTTCACCATTTCAATTGTTTCGTCTTGCAGAAACTGGTTGACGACCGATCTCTGTTGCTCCAATGCATAATCAATCAGCCGTGTAACTTCGCGCATCATTATAGACGCAAGCCGATCACGTTCGCGTTGCTCAAGTGACGACACTTCGCTCGTTTCTTCACTAGCTTCGCCATCAACAGCAACATCAACGCCAACATCACCATAACTGGCACTGACACTAGCAGCGGCACCTTCACCACCACTACCATCATTGACTCCACTACCCTCGTCGCCCACATCTACTTCCCCATCGGCTAGTCTGTCATGTTCTTCGTCCCTCAGTTGTGTGCTCGCCTCTTCGCTTTCGCCCACCTCGTCGTTGTTTGGCGTTGTTTTCATTAATTGTGGTGTCGCATGCCTTGTCCTGCTCGCCGCGTCGTCATCTTCATATGTTTCAACTGTTGCTTCATCAGAATCTTCATCGTCTTTGTCGTTAATATCCAGTGCTGTCACTATGAAACGCTCTGTGCTACTATTTCTGGTACTGATGTCTTCTGCATGGCCTGCCGCCGGTCTTGTTGATTCCGTTGCGACCAACTAAGTAAATAGATGTTTTGATTAACTTGTAGCTCTACATATAAGCATATGTATGTGTGCGTTGTGTTTGTTCTTTATTATAGTGCCTTCATCTATTTCTTATTTGTTTAGTTTTGCATGTAGTTTAAGGTCAGATTTGTTTATAAATACTAATAGAAAAGTATAGTGTGGGAAAAATGACACCGACTCACCTGTGCCAAGAGTAATGCGGTAAGCAGCAGCAGCAGCAGTGGCAGCGTCGCTTTCTTCCACATTCTCTCAGCGAAAAAATGCTATACCACACACCAATGACTGAGATGCAACTGAAATTGTTTATCATGTCTATAGTCTTTTATACATTACACTTAATAAAAGAGAAATTGCAATATCTCTTTGATTTGTTTTGTATGTTTTTATATTTTCACACCCTACACGCAACAAATGGAGGAGTGTCAGTTTGTCGCACACATAAAGCACAGAGCGTGCAGTCCACAGCAATTGCTTGGACGTTAAATATGTGATATTTTTAAGTTTTGTAAAATATTTGAAATGCAAATTTTTGATGTGAATAAGTTTTTAACAATATTTACAGATGGCTTGACTTTAAACAAAATTTAAATTAATTTTTTAAGAATTGGATTGAAAAAATGAAAAATTAAGATATTAATAAAAAGAAACTTAATTTTTTAGTAATTTTTGCGAGAATAATCTCCTCACTGTAGACTTGTACATTTATGCGTATATACTCCTTATATAGTATAAAAGCATATCAATAATGCATATATTTTTGTTATAGAAATTGTTATTGCTACTATTAGCTTAACAACAAATGTAGCTACAATGTATTAGAACGACAATAAACGCAGACAGCCTTTACTGTTATTTATTCAAGCTATTAACACTAATGGCATAGCTAAATTTTAGAAGCAATGTGAATTCATCCTATTTTATTTACTTCATTTGCTTTTATAAATATCAGAATTGCACTAAAAGGGTTGCAAACACACATTTGGAATAAGTTTTTCAGTACTTTATGAAAAAAAAAAGAAAAATCAAAACACAAAATACAGCAAAATAAGAGTAGTAAGAAATATTACAATTTATTAAAAAATAAAAAATAAAAAAATTATATATAAAAATATTTTACTTAATAAAAGAACATTCGAAAAATTTAGTTCACTCATGCGCAAAAAAAAAATGTAAAAAACAAGTAGGTATAAAATAGAAAGCTACTCAAAGCTATTCTATAAGAATGTATATTAATATTTAGGAAACAGCATGAGTTCTCCCAAAGAAAATGCAATTTGAATTTTAATTTAAGGAAAATTATGCTTTAACTACAAATCTTTTAGTATCACAGACTGTAAGTTAATGCATTGCTCTTGGCCTCAAAATTATGTTAGAAAACGTAAGAGAAGTTCATATTTTGAAAATAGCAAAAGTAATTCAAATATATTATTCAAATTACGAGATACCGTTAACGGTAACGGTTTGAAATTTATGGATATTTATTTATATTACTCTTGAAAAAAGTTGAACCTATTTTTTATTGCCATAAGCAACCCATTATAAATCATAATGCTATATACCATATATTATATTATCAATTCTCTATCACAAATCCAAAAATATTTGCGAAGCATAAACTGTCGAATAACACGCGTCAAATATTAAATATCAAAAGTCAAATGCCAAACATCCAATGTCGAAAGTCAAAAGTCGAACGCAAAAGCCAAGCTGTCAAATATGAAGATAACTTGTATGAAAACAAAAAGTCAACTGTCAAATGTCCAACTTAAACACAACGTCTCCGACATTAAAAATATATTTAAAGCATCATGACATTTGTAATTTCTGCCTTACGGCAAACTGTGTTAAAGCGCTCAACTGGACTTATATAACCTCAAACACCACCAAACACAAATCGAGTTTTTAAAAATATAATATTTATATATTTCAAATTTGTTCTATATTTAAAATTTGATACGTTATTTTTTGTATATTGCTTCCGTCAGCTCCCCACCGTCGTAGTGCGCCTCATATTCGCACTTGACCGCACCGATTTGCGAACTTGTTTTTAATTGGAATCAATTGCTTGCATTTTCAACACCCAATTACATACATATTTTCATACATAAAAATCACACGCGTTCATAAATACATATTTATAAGAGTACATATCCACGCTTGGCGACACATTATTAGCCCGACGTACTTATATGCAGCTGTACATATTTCGCCTCACAGAGCAGAAGTCTTTATATAGTTGAGCGTTAGGCGTTTATATTTAAAAAAAATGCGTAACTAAATAAATGTATAAGACTTTTAATTATGGGTCTTAAAAGTCTTTATATAGTTGGCGTTAGGCGTTTATATTTAAAAAAAATGTGTAACTAAATAAATGTATAAGACTTTTAATTATGGGTCTTAAAAGCGGTTTATAATAAAACACTTTATTTGCTTTTCAAACGCATATAAAATTAGATTCATACTCAACGCACCAAAACTCAATGCAAAGACTTCTTTAACTGACATTTTTATACAAATTTCAGATTTTTCAAACAAGTCATATATTTTAATATGAGTGTTAGAGTATACGAGTATATATTGTCTATTCTGCAAGTATGAATTTTCTTTGTTAAAATCTACAAAAATCTGTCATCTTACATACAAGTATATACATATTATATATGGATACATGCCCAAAGAAAATATCTTACTGACTACATTTTTTTGTTCCACATTGTATGCAAGTATGCAAAATACAATGTATGTATTTAAATGGGCGCACACTCTGAGCAACTTTCAATGGAAAATAATGCTCCTCTGCAATGCTTTCAGTTGCGTTTTGGGATATCTTCTCTTTATATCTCAATGAATTCTTTATATTTACGGCATGAAGACATTCATAACAACTCCATAATACGTACGTAAGCGCATACACACATGTGCACTTATTTGAATATATGCATATATATAATATACGCTATAATATGTATATATGCGCGCTTGTATGTGTGTCTTAAATTTACGGAATGTTTGCCATTTATATCTTAATCGATAATAGCAATTTGTATGATTATAAGTATATGTCAGTATCGCATTAGCGAAATCAAGCGAGTGATTTAAGAATTTGGTGTGCGAAATTAAGCTGTTTCAAAAGCCGTCTAAATCCGTGATTCATCGATACTTGGCAGCAATAACTAAGAATAATAAACAATATTTATAACTTGTTAGATCCTTCCTTGGTCTCAAGCCGCGCTTACAAAAGTGTATATATATCGATGTATGTAATAACACTGCAATATGTGTAGGTATGTATCTATGTACACTTTTACACACAAACAGACACATAAATGCGTGTATATATGTACATGCATACATATGTATGTTGCTTTCTATGAGTTCAGCAAAGAGTTCATTATTAGTTTTATTTCTCAATCACAAGACAGTATGCTATTCTAACATAGTAACCACAATGTATTCAAATATAATTACTGTGTATTTTTTCATGCTTTACAATTCAATAAAAAAGTATACAAAGTAATTGAAAAAGTAGCGTAACGTGATTTGTTAGAGCATAGGAAGAGTGGAAGCTTGTGGATTCGTATATGTGAGTATATTAATATGTTGTTTGGTTTTAGAAATAGTGCATCATTAAATTTTTGTTTGAAAGTCTATCATTGGTGAGACTAGTTTATTATTTTTAATTACCCATTTATAATTTAAAATTGTTGTTAATAATATAATTAAAAAAAGTTGAACCAAAAATGTTTCTACTTTTATTTCAGTAGTACAAATATGTACTCTAACCTTAACACTTTTTTATAAGAATGATTCCAAATGGCATAAATAATTATAAATTATTAGTTCGATGAAGTAAAGCCGGTTGATGTGTCCTTATGTTCTACATGTACTTTGAGTCTATACTTTATGATTTTATTGAGATGCTTCCAGACTATGCAATTAAGGTAGTAGATAGGTGGACGTTGTGGTAGTTTGTTGTTGTCGAAAAAATACAAGTTCATTAGCAATGAAATTGAGAAACAAACAGTTCAAAAAATACTATAGACGTTATTATAAATTATTGTTCCTAATACTTATAGAGGACCAGCTGTAAACTTTGGTTTACCCGGTGACAAAAACGGAAAATATATAGAAGTTGGAAAACGAACATAAGTCAACGAGACATTGAATTGAGCTAGAGCTTCTACTACAAACTCCTTTTCTAAGCGCAAAAAGCGAAAAAATAGCCGTAATATGTACCGCTGATCTGGAATTATTCTATTGGTCTAGGAGTAGACCTTACCAAGTTACTATTCAAAAATGGTAGCAGTTTGCCTTAGAACAATGGTATAAAATTTAAATTGCCATATAAAGCACATATATGTACATATGTATAAATATATTCACAAAAAATTAAATTTATGTTTGATTTAAGAGTTTATAATAGAAAAAAGGAGTTTTGTGATTTTTTTTTTTTGAAGAGACAAATTTTTTTAATAAAGAAATAAATATATATGCATATACATAATTTGATATACTATAATAATCGTTGAATCAGTTTGAAAAATTTGGATTCTTGAAAGAGGCGATCTATAATAGTCTTGTTCACTTAACGGTTGTATGTATCATATAAAATTAATCGAAATAAATAAAGGGTTATGTGTATAGAAATGATCAGCATGACGAGAAGAGTTAAAATCCGTCTGTCCGATACATTGATAAAACTTACCGGAACATATGTAGCACCAAAGAGAGGTCAGTATAACAGATGGGCGTAATCGGACCATCGGCGTAATACTTGTATGCCCATAAACTCTTTTATTTTATAATAAACAAATCAAACATCAATGAAGTGATTAAAATAACTTTTCAAGGACCCAGACGCTAGATATATGGACCCCAGTGCATATGGCGGATCATATCGGTCAATCTGTGAGGGCTAGTATTGAAATTCTGAGAGAATATTTTTGTGATGACAGCATTAATTGTTTAATATAAAGTTTTACAACACCTCAACGTATTTCTACGGCTTTGACATTACTTGTTCTACTTAAAATTATCTCCAATTCAAATACCAAAAAAATTATTAGTGCAATAGATGAATACTGTTAATGATCGAAGGGCTACTCAAAATTTTAATTCTTCCTAAAATGGCGGCTTCTAAAAAAAAAGTGGTTTTTGGGAAAAAATTTACACTTCAGAGTGGCATAAAAAGTCGAAATTATTTTTAAAAAATCTTATTGCTTTCGTCCTGACAAATATATCTAAGACGGTCGCGTCAAAATTTAAAGTCAATCGACCCAGCCGTTTCGGAGAAGTTTTCCTCAACGACTTAGAAAGCAGCGTTGCAAGAAAAGAAAAGTTTTAGGTGCCGATTACACTAAGTTGAACAACTTGTATGCACATATTTCCGAAACTATTTGCTAGATCAACTTCACATTATTAAATTATTATTTTATGCGTATTCGTATATTCGATATATAAAAAAAAATCGATTTTTTAAATTCACAACTGCAATAACCCCTTAAGTAAAATTGTTTTGTAAATAGCTATCTAAGGACTCTCAGCAAAATTAACACGTCTTCACTTAAACAATTTTTTATTATTAATGAATATTTTTGGTACATATAATATTATTTATTATTAAATATATTTTAATTAATATTTTTTATTATCTTATAAATATTTTTTTGTCAGTTTTGTTAACCTTGTAGAATAGTATCTACGTGATGATTTTTTCAACACTTGCATTGGTATTCGCTTAAAAATGCTTAGATAACTCGCATACAAGTATATGCACATTTCAACAATTAAGACATCAGCAATTCTTATTTAATTCGCACATGCATTAATAATTAGTATTATTAATTATAATTGTTTAAATTCGTTTCACATACGCGCAGCAAACACTCAAGGGTACAATTCCAAAAACTTGGCAATTATCTCCAGTTTCTTCTCCGAGTCCGTTTCGGCATTGAACGCACGATACCATTCGATCATTTTGCGCTCGTTCGCCCGCTGTTCGGCCGTTAACTTTGCCAAATAACTATCGACATGAGCGTTTAACTTTTCGCTGAAGACAAAAAAGCGTTCTAAACAGTCCACATGTAATTTATCCAAACCATTCTTCTTCAACGACATCTCCAAGTACATATTCTCTGTTGTGGCATTCTCGAGCGCCGTCGTATTATGGCGCTCTACCAGCTCGGTAAATAGTACGACCATATTGTATAGTTCACCAAACTTTTCGTCTTCGCCCAATTTCTTTAAATTGTCAACGCGTGCGACGAAATCGGAAAAATTGCCCAGGTGTGCTAATAAAGAGGCGGTGGGCTCCTTTAGTGTGGCCGCATCTTTGACAACGTTGCGTAAAACTTCCGTGCCATGTTCGACCGTAAAGTTGAAGAGTAGTGCGAGTTGCTCGAGCGTGTAGAGGAGTAGTTTATCACGATCGCTCCATTCATCAGCGTTAACTTTGTTGCCACTATTGTTGTTATTGTCGCTGTTGCTGCTAGTGTTTTCGTTATGTGGAAGAATATGATTATTGTTGGCATTGTTGTATTCGGTAGTGGAAGCAGCTGCTTCACTTATGAGTTGCGCTTCTTTAAACGCTTCTGGCGTACCGTTCGAGTCACTTGCTTGGGGTAAGACGCTGATAAGCTGCGCACATACACACATAAACAGATAATAATTATGTTAATATTTTGTATTAACTTTTGTATATTCACACTAACCTGTGAGCTGAACAGCAAATAGTAGAGCAACATTGTGATTCTCTTTAACATTTTTTGTGTTGTCACGTCGCAGAAGCTCAAATAATTATATTTACCAAAACAATTTGAATGTAATTCTCAGTATTTTTTTATTTTACCACAACCTCTAACTTCTAACACGCCTCAATTCATACTAAATTAGCGCCTAGTAATTTTTTAATACACGAATCGTATTGGTTATCGTCTACGCCACGCAGAAAAAGCTCAATAACGCACATACAATGCTTATAAGCAAAGAGCGCTGAACAAATCATTATTATGAATATGTATATTTACTAAAAAAAAGTATGTTTAATATGAAAGTTCAATGCGGTCAAATTTCAGTGTAAATTATTTTATGCATTGAGTTCCACAGATGATTGAGCTGATATCATGCTGCAGCGCAGCTTTTGGCGCTTTGCTTTCGTGCTTACTGCGTTCTTGTTTTCTAGGAATGCCCTATATCTAAGAAATTTGCATTTTAGCCAACTTACATGGTGTGTACAGGTTGGTTGAAAAGTTGCTAGCTCTCACCAAGAAATAGCACTACTAGCTCCAAATTATCTTTTTCTCAAGTTGGCACATCTGTCGTGAGAACACATACAAAGTTAAGAGTCATTCTGTCAATTAATTCTTTGTTTACAAGCCATTTGAAGTTGACGTGTCAGAGTATTTTTTTACTATGGAAAAAATTTAATATTTCGCAGTGATTAGATTCTTTGTTTGGAAAGGCTTAAAGGCAAAGGAAATTTATGTACTATTATTAGAAGGTCACCTTCAAAACGCACCGTTGAATTTTGGGCTGGTGAATTTAAACGTGGTCGTACTAGGCTTGAAGACGATCCACACGAAGCACGACCAGAAACCGCAATCACATCAGAAATCATTGACCAAGTTCGTACTATTGTTAGTGAATATCCAAGTTTGACTAAGCGTGAAATTGTTAATGCCATAGGCAACTCAGATGAACGAGTACTTCATAGTTTACATGCAGAATTACACATGAAAAAGCTGTTTGGAAAATTAGTGCCGCACACGTTAACAATGCAACAAAAACTGGATCGAAAACAAATTTCTCAGCATAATTTGAAGCGTTTTAAACAGAATAAACCCGATTTTTTGCGTCGTTTTATAACTATGGATGAGACTTGGATCTACCACAAGATCCTAAATTGAAACAAGAATGTTTACAGTGCACTGAAGCTGGTTGTTCAGGTTTAAAGCAGTTGAGGTCACAACGATCAGCAAAGAAGGTTATGGCATGAGTTTTTTGGAATGCTATAAGAATTTTGTTGATGGATTATCTGCAGAAAGGTAAAACAATCAACTCTGAAAATTATTGCAGCCTTTTGGATCAGCTGGATGAAAAACTTCGTTAAAAAATAGCTGGTTTGCAGCACAAAAAAAAAAATTTTTCATCAAGCCAATGACAAAATTCAACGAATTAAAGTACGAATTGCATGAGCATATACCGTATTCACCATATTTTGCTCCCAGCGATTACTACCTCTTCAGAGACCTCAAAACAATTCCTGCGTGGAAAGCGTTTTTCGTCGAATGAAGAAACTATTACAGCCGTAGACGTGTATTTTGCAGAGCTTCCGAAAAGTCATTATAGGGATGACGTCATATTATTGGAATTGAATGGAAGTTAAGGGAGATTATATTGAAAAAAAATATACCAAAACAATATTTTCTCATTTCATATATAACTACATATAGTATATTTCAATATGAATATATTTAGATAATGTGTGTCTTCGCTCAGATAACCACACCCGCATACATATACACTGTAATGTTTTCTAAGCTTTTTCTAATACACATTTCAAGGTAAACCTGAAAATAAAAACTACACGATTAGTATCTCTATACACATATATATCTTATATGAAGTCTTAGATCTATCGAAAATAGCATACGTTTACCCAGAGCAGAGAATGTTGATGAGTAGAGAAGGAGCAAATGTTAGCAGTACTAAAATGTTAATTGCTAAGAAGGAACATCGAAAACGCGCAAATTGGAAAATAAAATTTCACCACAACTATCAGGGTACGAAACGAACTACACCACTCTATAAGCAAAATGTATACACATACATATGCACAGATGTTCTTTGATATGCGCATAAACAAAACTTAAAATAATAAAAAGGAAAATAATTGACTTATGAAAAGAAAATATAAGTAAAGAGGGAAATAATATGAAAATAGAACTAAAATATCATTTAATAAAAAAGAGTTATAAAAATAAAAAAAGTATATAAAAATATGTGGTAGGATTTGAACTTAGGCAAAATATTTCACGTTGCAATAAAGAAGTCTTCTATACAAGCAGCACCACAGACAACATCCAAAC